AACAAAACAGTAAATATGAAAGATGAATGACACCTTCTCAAAAGAGACCCTTCCATTTTCACTTGCTATTTGTCCCTTTAATACGGTGCACTGGAGCTCTCTAAAGATTAATGGAGTTCCAATTACATGCCACTGTTGTTTCACTTATCATAATTTGTACATGGCAGTGCGAGGCCCTTGTATTCATGACTTTCCCAGTTTACCCAGAGGGAATATCTTTGGAACTTCCTACTTCTAACAAACAGGCATTACTTAGTCTAACGATTAAAGCTTGCCACGCTCGCTGAGTGAACGTGAGCTCTGACAGAAAGCAGAGTATCAACACTGCGGGATCAATGGACACTCCCACGCTGTAATATGGTTAATTAGTAATACTAAGACTGCAGATTCTCCAGTGTGTTATACCTGGGCTGCACTGTGACTGGAACACAGATACAGAGTCGATACATAAATAGAAACATTCTTCCTATTCCAGTTGGAGATGAATTTTACATTTTAATTCACGGTATGTTTTTGGAAACGATGCATGAACATTGAATGAATCCAGTTTGTAGTTTTGTTGTTTTTTTTTTTAACTGATTCCTTTCAAGGTTAAAAATTCATCAGTGCTTCTTGATTTGAATGTTCTGAATAGTTTTGAATAACAACATTACTTGTTGTTGCAATATCCAATATACAATCCTTGGTGTAAAATCCTCTTGATGTCTGATTACTCTTCATAAGGACCTCATGCTGATTCATTTCAAACTGTGAATTACCTTTAATTCATAGCTTGAACATGCTGCCAAATTTTGTTTTCTATATGCCCAGGTGGCTGTCCCTGACACAGTGGAGAACTTCCAAAAAGCCATTAGATACTTATGAAAAGTAGTTAGATGTCAGAAGCACATTTCCATTTTCAAACATGCTTCCATGAAGTGTTATGATAATATTTGGGATTGCAAAAGTGCTGGTATTTATTTGAATTTTTTTAGAATTTTTTTTAGAACCGTGAAGTGAAATCCTGGCCCAACCAAAAACAGTGCTGAACCCCTTTAGAAAAATCCTTGCTGAAATATGACAAAAAGATTTTCAGCTGCTTGTTTTGGTTTTGAGCTCCCTTTATTTAGCTGTTCTCTAGTCCCCACACCGGTTGTGTATCATTAAGTATGATGGATAACAAAAACTCTATAAAGATAAAATGAGTCGGTTTTGTCTGATCCATAAAAATTTGCTGCTCTAAGTTTTTAATGGTTTCCGGTAGTTCACTGAGCCCATGAGAAGGGCCTTTTAATACTGTATTAATACAGTAAGTATAGGAAGTAATTTTATGACAGGGGAAGAATACCATTATGATTACATTCTTCTTTTTAGCTAGGCTTTTATGGAAACTACCCAAGACTACTCTGCAGTATGATTTCGAAACACAGGATGTGCTTGATTAAAAAGGTTCTGGGTGGTTTCCAACTGGACACAGGCCAAATGCTAACAACCAAAACAGAACAAAAGAACTGGATGTTTGAGGATGACATACTTGCAACGGTAATTATATAACAGAAACCCAAGTCATGAGCTGAGTTCGTGCCCTCAAATTCATGGAAGTTGACAGAAAATCCTTTGCAGTGCAATTGGTTGCACCTTATCTGTTCCTGCTTACTGTGCTTCACAATAAACTAATCAGAGCAGACTGGCTGAAAACTGACCACACAAACACCCAGCAGAGATTTACAGTGAGTCTGAAATTAAAAAAAGGGAAGCCAAGTGCTGCAGATTTACATAGCCTGATTTCAGCTTATAAAAACTCACCACGATATACACACATGGATGCACATTTTCATTTTCAAAAGTTTTTGACTAGAAATTAGGATCTGAGGTGAGTTATATGTACACATACTCATGTACAATACTGGTGCAGAATTTAGACACAATCCCAACTACTCCACCTTCTATTTTACCTGCTGCAGAGCACTGGGGATTGGGTTTTTCCAGCATGTGGATGTAACAAAGTACATTGAAATATTATAAAAAGGGTGAAATTTGTATTTCGGAAAGCTTTACTTAGACAAGAAGTCATGCATCTTGCATCATCCTACAAAAGCAGCATGTTGGTCAATTAATCTACCTTGCAGTATATTCACCCCATTCTTCCCCCTAGAAGTTGCATCTGAAAGGTTATCTTCCAAAGATCATACATCCCTTTGGTCTGGTCTTCCATCATGCCAACGTTCTTACACCTGACTTCTGTAATGACACACAGGCAGCTTGCCTTCTGGAGCAGAATGCAGCATCATGAAGGTAAAGTACCTTTGTTCTGCATTCACTCAGCTAGTCATGGTATCACTCAGTGATATGGTGAATGCAAGCACATTCCTACCAACTCCTATGGATTTCTAACAAAGCCAGTGGAATCTACAGGACTGTCACTAGGACCAATGCAAGTGGAAAAGGTAAGTTTCACTTGAATTGCCGGTGAACTTAAAGTAAGCTGGGGAACAGTTAGAAACATATCCAGGTTAAAAGGACTCTGAAAAAGCATACAGATCAATGAAGCCAAATTCAGTCAGATCTGATCAAACTGAAATACAGATAACAGACCCCACTGACAAAATACATGAGGAATTGGTGGGGGATACAGTTTTGAAGTCAGTGACATCGTGCTGTGTGCCTGACAGTGTAGCAACAGACGTAACCGGGGATAAGTTGGACTGTAATTTCACTCGTATGCTTCAATATCCCTGAAACCTATCAATGGTCAAAAGATTAAACCCTTCTTAATACAACTGCGGTCTGATAAATACTGTATTATTAAAATACACAATGACTCAGACTCTATCCATCAGAGTTTGTTTGGATCACACTATCCAGCTCTCCTTGGTACCATTATGTCTTTCTGCCCCACTCTCCTCTTTAATTTCATTATGTCCTCAAGTCCTGTAATTCCCTGTGAAAGTGGTGGTAACTGCACACGCAGAGCTAAGAAACAAATTGGCCTCGTAATACCAAGTCTCACAGTGGACTGCCTTCTAACCTCCCAAAGCCCTATGGAAATTCTTAGAAGCTGCCTTAACAATTTTTCTGCAGTAAAAGAGAAAAAGTGATAGTAATGGGTTAGCTGATCTTCATTTGGAAGCTAAAAATAAAAGTAGCTTTATTGCAGCTCTGATCTCTCATGTGTAAAATCTATCACCTACCATAAGAAGGCAGTTCATTGCAGCAGAAATCTGATTGATAGTACTGGAACTTTAGATCAAGCAGCAGAACAGAGAGCAACTGGTTCATAAAATGTACTCAGTGTCTTCGGGTTTTATATCAGGCTTCCTATAGAGAGCTTTGGTCCCATTAAATGCACTATATACCACTGAGCTCTGAAGCACTGTTCTTTTGAAATTCAGCTTATAACTATAAACCATGATTGACAAGTATATTACTGTTGGTTACAAACTATTGAAATATCGTATTTTATGGTACACTCACGAAAATATTTTTCACAGTGGAATCCAAATACACTTGCTTCAGGAGAAAAATAATTTTAAGATGTAATAATATTTTTTTTTACTTTCTTTTTTTTTTGCTATGGAATATGCTTGATGTTAGATTTGTATCACTTAAATGTTCTGAAACATGAATGTACCCATTCTGTTCTGTTACCAAGAACAGTGGGTACTGTTGGCTAAATTCTTTACAAAAAACCAAGCCATTACTGGAAACCAAATAACAAAGGGCAAAAATTAATTTGTTACTAAAGTTAATAAATAAATACTATTCGCAGAAATTAACCTATATATCATTAGCATTCCCATCCAATCCTCATTTAATCTGAAAAACCGATATTTAATTTTAAAATTGAGTTATTCGTTCAGCCATGATTTTGTAAACCTTTACTCAACTAACTTCATTTGAATGAGTACTTCCATGACTTGAGTTTATGAGTAAAGAACTGGACCTTCAGAGTTTGGTGAGTAAATCAATGGATTTTGCACCCACATCTAGTCTAGTCCTGCATTTCTTACACGGTCACAGACAAATCACTGAACTCCAACAAGTCCTTTCCTGTACATAAACTTGCACTTAGAATATTTAAATTCACGTTAAAAACCTTTGTAGCTATCGTGGCACTGATTTTTTCCCCTATAGAGATTTACTTAAAATAGTGTCTTTAGTAGATAAAGGGCAACCATTAGAATAATTCTGAAGTAATTTTAAATTAAAATATTATATTTATGCAAATGTCAGTTAAGCTAGTTAAGTTCTGCATTCAGTACTTTAAAACACTTAAACACTAAAAAAACCCCAGCAGCTCTGAACTGAAATCAGACCCACACATTTTCATAAGCATAAAAAAACCCCCCTACTTTTCAAAGTTCCTATTTAATTCCCGTTTGTAAAATACTTTGAGAACCCGGGACAAAAGTAAAAAACCAGTTCAGTCTCAACTCCATGCTACATTACTGCAGCCTTACACCAGAGAAGCACCAAAGAGAAATGGGTTAACACAAGGGAGAATCAGCTCTTCCACAATTTTCAGCTGTCATATTTATAGATCATCTGTGATTTTCAGCTGTTTCAAAGTGTATGAAACTCAAGAGTAGCTTTTCAACACCAGCTAGTAGAATTATTCTGTATGATGTGTTTTACTCTCTCTCACTGTATGAATGTGAAAATTCCTGCATCATCTGTTCATTGGGTTGCATTTTCTATTGTAAGAGGCTTAGTATCTGATGAGAGAAGCATAAAAGTGATTTAATTTTGGCAAGCTGTAGAACTAAAATCAGCATTATTTCTGCTTAATAAACTCATCTTTCACACATACCTCTGTTAGCTAATGCTTAAAAAGAAGAAACAGTAATAAGCACTGAAAACATAAAACTGGTTTATGGCTAATTTTTAAGGACTACTGAGAACACCTGAACACGAGGACAAGATTATGAGCAGAGCTAGATTTTAGTTACCTTTGGAGAAATAAGCTCATTCTTTATGATAAATTTAAAATGAGATTTAAAGCTGGAAATAATAATACTTACGACTTTTGTGGCACTGACTTAGTTGCAACTTTCCCTGCTGGATCACTCCACTCTGCAAACAAAGGAAACACATTTTCAAATGTCAAAAGATTACTGTAGAATTAAAATGCACCCAAAGCTGTCAGCCCATCTAATTATACTTGGTTTCACAACATGCCACAATGCATAACATGTAATAAAAAATGGAACTGATCTGCTTTAGCACCACAGAAATTAATTTTTTAGCCTTTGTTTTAATGATGTTAAGCAGAAAAAGAAAATACCCAACCCTGACTGTTAGGACTAGGATGATAAAGACCTACTTTGTACATTGTATCCTGAGGTCAGATGTTGGGAGTCCTACAAAGAAGAACACACAAAATGTCAGCATTAGTTAAATAAGATGAAGAAGGTAAGATATATCTCGGCTTGCTGGATTAAGGGCATTGGCGTTATGCAAACGGGGAAGGAGATGGTACAGGGAAGGGATTGTGGGATTGTTAAGGCAGCACCAGTGACATTAGTTTAAAACAACATTAACTGTGGAGACAGAGCACCACTGAGGGACCCTTCACAGCTCAGGTAAGAGCTTGTCCTCAGCTGTTGTAAATCCACATCCCCCTGTTATGGAGACACCACACAGGTTTATACCCACAGCGGTCCAAGCCTTTGCCAGGCTTGGTCATGGATGTGGGTATGAGCCACTCGGGATGTACAGTTTAGAAAGCAGCACGAATGCAACTGTGCATTAAATTCAGTGCCATTGCCTTTCTGTTGTTTGATCTTGCAGCCTGGAAATACAGTAATCTTTTATTGACAGCCACTGTTTTTATTTGGGCTGTGACACACAGGATTTGATAAAGACGCAGGAAGTACATCTTCACTCAATGGAAATTGGTCCAAATCCAATGAAATCAATGGAAGCACAACAACTTTAAACCAGCAAAGAATCTGGCTTGCAACACTGAGCATGCTAATGCCAGGATTCTTGTTGGCTCATAATAACTAAGCTGCTTCCGTAATGTCACAGTCTTTTCTTGCTTAGCTTTTCTCCAGGCTTTATAGTCCACAGTGATTGTCATCAGCTTTCCTTCCAAGCAGAGTTTGATCATTTGAAATTAAGGTGTTATTTACAACCTCATCTTACAGCCAGGCACTACTTTGCTGGAAGTGTTAGTTCTGTAGGATGTTAAAGTCATTAAAGCCCTCACTGCACTTCCTCTTAGGGCATTATTAGTTCCTAATATTATATTGTGCTGTCAGTCAGTCCCTTGTGAAGTAAATAATGCCCTAAGAGTAAACATGGCACTTTAAATTTGAATGTCAAAGGGATAAATTGTTCTGATAAGTTCCGCCTCTTTTATCACACTTTTTTATATATGTTTCTCATGAGGATACCTTTTTTAATAGCCAAATTGAGAACTTCTAATAGTGCCTGTCTCTGGTTTATATGGCTGCACAATCTAGCCACAACATGTCCTAAATGTATAATTTGGCCAGCCATAATAGATTTAAAGAGATGTTCTGAAGAGACATCGTTGTATTTTTAAAAGTAAAACTAGCAAACATGGAAACATTTATGTGCTTGCCTATTTCCTGAAACGTTAGCTAAAAAAAAAAAAAAATAAAAAAAATTAATCTAATTTATATTTTGTACTGAAGTGATACGGTCAAGAATTTTAGGATCAACATTTAATGTGTCCAGAAACTAACTTTGATGTGGATCTTAAAAGTTCAAAGCCAACTTAATAGAAACAGAAAAGCAAACCAAAACTTTAGCTTCTCTGAACCTACACTTATACTGCTGCCAATGGAGACAGTGGTAGTCTGCAAGACTCAAATCAGTTTCTGTAGGACCCATCAGAAACAGAGCACTAAATTAGGAGATGGTATAAATTTAAAAAACCCCGTTTCCAGCAGGCAAAGACCTGAATTCTCACTGTATTCACGCAGTTCACCTAAAAGGGTTCAACTGACTTTCAACCAGTTTGCAATGAGGAATATACTCTTGGAGAATTATAAGCCTACAAGAAAGATGGAGAGGGACTTTTTTACAAAAACCAGTAAGAGGAAAATCACAATACAGCTCCTAAAACAGGACATGATTGCTTGAACCATAATGTCAAGGAGTACCAGTTTTATAAGATATTTTCCAAGGTCCTGCCTTTAGAAAGAAACTTTTATGTAGCTCCATGACAGAATGGCATAGATTTCCCACCCTGGGGAAGTTCTCCCCTTCCTCAAACAGCATCAGCTCACAGTTATTCAGGTCCCAGCAAGAGACAGCTCCAGCAATACCTGCCCTGGGTATGAGCTCGATCCCTAGCAGTGTTATCAGAATCACAGAAGGCAATACTGAAGTCTGGGCTAAAAGAATGTTCAAATCAGACCACTTAACAATTCACTGCATGTTGGGGGAACTACAGGTACTCTCCAGGCATGTGTTTCTGATGTGGCAAGTGTTGAGTGCGTGCCTTTAACAAGGCCAGTGCTGAGGACTGCATTGTCCAACCCTGTGTGCCCCTGGGGTGTGACACAGGCAGATGCCATCGCACTCTTCACATGTAGGGACCTTTTCAGCCTCAGTAATCTGACCATGCAGCCTAAACCTCACCCTGCAATCAATCAATGAGTGGGAACAAGTGACCACTTCAACCTTTTCATTGTTCAAATAATAATGGAGGAAAATCAAACAAAGTATATTGTACTTGACTTAGAAAGACTCCTCTAACAACAGAGACAAAGTTTGCTTTGTTTCCACTGTATCTTCTGCAGCTTTAAATAAGCAGCTCTACTAGTAACAACAGTCTGATTGGGAATTTCCAACTAAAAATAGTATTAGAAATTTTTGAAAATGGGACCAGTTACAAAAATAAACTCTCCAGTGAAGCACACTCAACAGAACAGAATGCTAATCAGGTCACTGGCAACAGCCTACTGGTACCTTGCTTGGGATAGAAAACTTGGTCTGCTCAGCCTTGCCGGGAGTGTGAATAGCAGTAAGAGGAGGAGGCCAGGAATGGGTCATCTCCTAGGGAAGAAAGAAAAAGTTTTGAAAACAAATTCATGTACATAAAGAAGAACAAGGGCTAAAGAGGATGATGTATGCTCCACTGATCCTGGAGACGCAACTGTTCAAGGAAGTGACCCCACCATCACACATCCTTCTATCACAGCTCAACACCTGAACCACCCAACATGCAGCACTTCCTCAGAACGACAGCGAGGACAGGTTGTACCCTTCAAAGTGTGACTTCAGCAGGTGGCAGCTGATTCCACCTCCACGGTCAGGCTGTCAAGGTTTATGAATAGAGCAAGGTTTTACCTGCAAAGCCCAAGCAGGAAGGGGACCCTCCTGCACAGCACTGGATGCAACCATATAGGGGTGTGTGGTAGCAAGATGCAGCCATGCGGGGGTTTAGGCAGTGCTGGTTTAGGCAGAGCTTGTAAATGCCCTTCTAATGAGTGTGTTTTATGGTAGATACTGCTACTTTCTCTCTTATCTTTGTTTTTAATTCAATAAATATCCAGAGAGGCAGTAATACTTGTCTCTGGCATTCTGTTGTATCTTTGTTTTAGTGGTTTTTCTTTGCCTACAAAGCTCAGAAAAGAATTCTTTCTTGAGGCAAGGGAGGCAAAGAGCAAAAGAGGGTCTAATCTAGGAAATTTTATGTTCAATGGCCAGAATCCTGACATCAGTAAAGTAAACTTCCCAGCTGCTGTTTCATACTGGTCAAACCCAGGGCCATTCCCAACAAACCTTATGAACAGGCAAATTTCTGTAGGTAACATGACAACCACTGCAAACGCTCCACAAATACAAATATAACATACTACGATTAATTAAAGGAAATATAACTGTTGTCAGAAGGTCAGTGTGCTGGGTGCATTTCGGCTAAAGACATGCCCTGGGTGGCTACAGCTGGCACTAATGTATAATTTACTGAAGATAAAGCCAGCAAGCTTCAGATCTTCAGTTATCTGTCCCAAAGTATGTGTCATAAAAAGGTTAGGAGAGAGAAGGGAAAACTATGCAGCACAGTCCTCAGTCAGGGGGACAGGCAGACATACAAACTTCCCCCAGCTCCTGATAGGCACTAGTGGTTTTGGCCCATCAAATTTCTACCCTCAGCAACGCTGCTACTGCAGTGAGGGCTGGCTGAGCCATGCAAGGGACACGGCCCAGGATCAACCACCAGGCAGAGAAACCCTCAACCAGCCTTGGCAGAGGCAAGAGGGCAGGGCTGGTCCAGCACCATGGACACGCACAGCGCAGCCTTGGGCAGACCCAGGGACAGGGGAGGTGCAGATGCCTGTGCTCCTGAAAGAGCTTCTGGGTTTCTGCTGTGGAAACCCAGGGCCCGTTTTCATTGCACAAAGCCCAGACTGTGGCACTGAGGAGGAAAGGAGCAGCTGGTGAACAGCTCATCCCTCCCGGTGCGAGAGGCTGCAGCAGCTCAGTGCCATGACAAGAAGTGCACTGTTCTAGTGCACTGATTGTCTGACCTCCACACAGGGGAAGGCAGAAAAAGATTTAAGCATCCGGTGAACTCTTCTGTGAGATAATATAATCCAAATCCTGCACGCTTCTGCCAAATCCTACGCCATAGATGTTGCTTTGTGGCAAATCTCTTCATAGCAAAACGATGAAACAGAGACTGCATTGCATAATTAAAAGAGGGCCAGGCAGTCCAGCTGAAGGCAGAAATTAAGCATATTCTAGAACTGCAATTACAGGCTTGACCTCAGTCTCTTCCTGGCCACAGATAAAAGGCTGTACAGAAAGCCTGGGATTCATGGGAAGGTGATGTCAGCAAACATTTCAGAATATTCACTGTCAAAATGCATCTAGTATCCACAGTGTACCCACTTGGCACATTAAAGTGTAAGCAAACCTAGTCATCTCCCTGTTAGGGGACACCTGAACATAAAATAGTGGGAAAAGGGAAAAGGAGTCTGCTATTTGAGGAAATTCAATTACAAGGTATGAAATCCTGACTCCACTCAGGTCAGAAGCAAAAGTCAGCTTCAGAGAGTTTATGACTATCCAATCTATGTGTTTACAGTGACCTTGTGAGCATCAAGGTCTATTACAAAGGTACAAGCTAGTTTCATTGAAGCATTTCACTTCAATTATCACGGCAACAAAAATTATTGGACAGAAAATTCCAGATAGGATCACACATGCAAAACAGCACAAGCATTGGTGTATAAGCAAACACTATGTGTGGAAGGAGTAAGAAAGTATACAGTTGGTTAAAGAAGCATACCTACATCTACCTACAGAGCACTGTTGACCAAAGAACCTTGAATGATGGTAGAGAAAGTTTTGAATTTACTCATCTGAAAAATGTCACAGCAGCAGCCCCACCCCAACCACCACACAGCTGCACATCCCACTCGGGCAGAGCCCTGCTGAGCTACAGAATGACACCCAAAAATGGCACTGCACAGTTGCCAGGAAAGGGTCAAACCCCCACATCCTGCAGGGGTGTGACTGTCTGCTTAGCTCACTCCTACTCTGTTCCTTAAGCACAGGCACATTACCCTGGAGAATCAGAAGAAAGGATGTCATTTGTTTAATCATCCACGTGACTTCACCATTTTTTGCTATGCCCCAATTTCTTCTGAAGGTCCCTCATCTTTAAGTACTGGCTAAGATCTATTTTGTTTAGCTTGCGAAATCTGATATATCTACCTTCTAATATGTTAAGACTACAAAGAGCCACACAGACAGCGTGTGTGTTGTGCATGTATCCATTAAGATGTGTCTGTAGCCACCTTGGTTTGTAAATATCTGGGAAAGCAGGCAGGGAATTGCATTCTTTTTTTTTTTTTCCAGGAAAAGTTAAAAAACTTTAATCAATCCAAATTTGGAAGTATTTAGAAATTCCTGGAAGTAAAAATAATAAAACCGAGCATATGAAATGCTTTAAAGAGGAATTTAATGGAAACAAAGTAATCCCACAAAATTGAGTTAGGATTTATTTTCACATGGTTTGGACTTAAAGTAATTCCAAAATCATGTTAACTGTTGGAGTGGGTAGATGACTGCTATGGAAGCATGCATTTTTTTTATAGACCTGGAGATTAAATGAGAAAGTAAACCTGCACAGTTTGTTGGCTTAGAAGTCACTGTGGTCCTCTGATGTAGTAACATCAAGCATCCTCCTTTTCTGAAAATTATTTAAACATTGTTTTAATTGAGTCCATGTGTTTTGTTTATTAGAGCTAGGCACGCTCGTCTCTTCAGCTAAGTCTGCTTTTTCAGCTATAAAAGCCCTCAGGTGAGTAACTAAGAAGGACACATGCAGACATGACCTAATGAATCACCCAAAATACAAATACCCCAAGCAAACCTTCTAAGGGCTGCAGAGGTACAAAGCCAAATCATGATTTAAATGGAAGGAGAGGACTGGGGAAGGATTCAAACTTGTAAGTTTCTAAGGAAAAGGTCAGAGCTAAAGAACTGAGTAGGGGGGATATGGGGCAGATGGTAAATAGCTTTACAAAACCAGTCCCTAAAATTAATAGCTGCCTTCAAGATTTATTTCCTGTCTCTGTATTTCATTTTTTCCATCATTTCCTTCTCGTTCAAAAGAAAGTGTGCCATGTTTTTAAGTACAGATAAAAGCACTGAGCCAGGCTCTAAGAGGTCATTATGGAAAAAAGAAGCAGGATTGTGTACTCTGCATTCCTACAGAGGCAGCTTCCCTTCCTACAGTGCACTCTAAACTGCTTAGCCTGATCTAATTTGAAGTCTCCCAAGATACAGGGCTCATGCTACCTCCCTTGGGAGAACTGAGGGGAGACATGAGAACAGTCTTCAATTACAGAAAGATCTGTTCCTAAAGGAGAGAATAATCTGTTCTCCAGTTTTGTGGTGGATATGAACTTCAACTGCAGCCAGAAAAATTCCAGTTAGACGTAAGAAAAGGCTCTCTAATGGTGAGGATTCTGCAGCACTGAAATAGATTGCTCAGAGAGCTACACAGACTCCATCTGTGTAGGAACACACTTAAGAACAGATTAGAACACATCAGTCAGGAATGGCTTAGGCAGAATTGATTCCTACATTGGGACTGGGATGCATAGTAGGTGATGAGATTTCTAAGACCTTTCCCAGCCCTTTTTCTTGTTCTGTAGTTTTGACAGATCTCTGTTGGCCAAACCCTATCCTTACTGCCTCTCTTGTGGATACATTCACAAAAAAGCAGCAGAAGAAAGCAACAATCCTGATGTTTTCCTTCTGTGGCCACAAAGGCAGTCTCAGGACTGACACTTTGCCCAGATCATTAGAGGGCAGCCAGTGGAGCAGGAGGAGGAGCAGCCCCGCACACACCACCAGCAATAAATGCAATGTGAGGCCACTGCTGCTAAAGAGACTTTATCTGTAGTATTCTCTCTGTCAAATGCCCTTCTCAATCCTTTTAACTCCCAGCTGAATCTGTTGCTTTAAACTTCCTCCGGTTTTTGGTGACATAGTATGTTAAAGTTGCATTCAGAAAAAATTAATATGTGATGAATAGATTTTCTAAGGTTATTACAAAGTTGATGCTACAGCTGGTGCTAAGCAACCTACTGCCTTGATGGAATAAAGATAGCCAAGTGATTTACCATTTATTAAAGACTCTATTAATGATTTATTAATGTTTTATTAACTATTTATCAATGCAACCTTAGTAAAAAGCGTGTCTTGTTTCACAGCATCTTTCTGGTTTCTGCATTTATACAAACCTGATCAAACTATCTGCTAGGAAGCCAGTAATGCATGAGGGGCAGCCACATTTTAAGTGTGTGATGCATACTGAATTAAAAAACATCTCAGCCCGTTTCATCTTTGAAAGAAAGGATAAGGAATGAATGAATGAATGAATATATAGACACATATTTATACATGGACAAGCAAATGACACTAAACCCTAAAAGAACACAAAGGCGATAACCCTACGGGTTGTTTTCGTTCATATTCCTTATGAAGGAATGGAAAATTTGCAGGAGCAGTTGGGAATATCCTGATCAGTAACCTGG